CGTAATGTTATTTCCAGCTGAATGTTGTACTTAATGATGATTACCGTGTTTTTCTTATAAATTGATTTTGTTTTCTTCCCTGTAATAACTACCTCCTGTCTTATTTGCTTACTTTTCTGTGTAATAGCTCCGATTCATTCCCATATTCTTTTTCAAAACCCCAGTCCTCTACAATCGCCCCACCTTTGAGCTCAGTCTCTGAGCAGTATAGTGCAATGTAGCATTGTTAAGAGAGTGGTCCCCAGACCAGCAACACCAACAACAGCACTGCCTGGGGCCTTGTTAGATATTCGAATTATCAAGTCTTACTAAAGATTTATTGATTAGCCGGCAATCTGGGCTGTAACCAGCCCTCCAGGTGATGCTGATGTGCACTCAACCTTGAGAACATTGCTATGATGGTTGGGATCTCGGATACCAAAACAAGGCTGCCGAAGTTCAAATCCCAGCTATTCCACTTGTCTGTGGTTTAACAGTTTCCGAGGCTCAATCTTGCCATTCATAAAATGGGGACAAACCTCACTGCTCCTACAGTTGTCGTGAGCTACATGGTGTTAGGCAGCATGACGAGCTCCAGTTTTTCTTAGAGATGGCCCTTGAGGTACCCACATCAAGTTTCTGTCCTTCAGCACCTTGACAGCCCTCTGAAGTTCCCCTCCTATACCCCTGTGTCAGTTTCTCTTCTTTTAACCCTCAGCTCCCTCTGCTAAAACTCTCAGCTCCCTCTGCTAAAACTACCATTTCACGTGATTCTCTTTCAGAGCCCCATGCCACCTCCAGCCCCCAATTCTCCCTCCCCATTCCCAATGACATTTCACTCAGCCCTAGAGCAATCTCAGCTTCCATCCTCCCACAGTCCTCCACTCCACCCAACCTTTCCCTCCCAGGCCAGACCTCCCTGCTTCCCCCAAGGCTGGTTCTCGCCTCCTGCAGTACAGGGCGTGGGAAAGGAGCATCACCATTCTATCTTCTCACTCTTTGACAATTCTTAGGATAACATCCTACCCGAGAGTCAGTTCTTTCCAGCAGGATCGCTTGCCATAGTCCTTGAAATACTGCAAATGCTTAACAAATCCAAAGTCCTCACCGTGGCCCACAAGTCTCTGCCTCATGCCCACTCCACATCCCACATCTCTTCTCTCTCTCTCTTCATTTCCCATAACTTTTCCCCATTTCCTTCACTCCAGCCACATTGGCCTCCTCATATGCTCCCATCTCAAGGCCTTCACACTTGCTCTTCCTTCTGACATGGAATGCTCTTCCAGTAGATCTGCATTTGGCTGATTCTTTTACTTCGGTCAGGTCTCTGCTCAAAGGTCACCTCCTTAGAGAAGTTTTCCCAAATCATCCATTCTAAAATAACACCTGCCTCCTCCCTTGCTATCCCTTTACCTGCTTTATTGATCCTCTGTAGGATCAATGTTATTCGGAATCAATAATTCCATTATGTCTTATTTTCTATGTCAGCCCCTCAAAGGCAGAGACCTAAAATCTCACTGCTGCCTTTCCCTTTTCCCTCTATTTCTTCTGTCACTAAATATTGAGTCCCAACCATGTGTCTGCCACTCTCTGAGGCTCCAGGGATATGGAGGTAGGCATGTTTGTTGTAAATTTTTACAAAAATGCTTATCTCGGGAGGGCTGAGTGAAGTAAGGTGGTGTGAAAAGCCTGGGGTCTCAGTTCAAATCCCAGCTGGGCAGCCTCCTCTCTCGGTCTCTTTACCTGTAACATGGGGCTAACGATAGTCACTACCTCACGGGATCGACGTGGGAATTCTTTGTTAATTCCTATGCCTGCTAGATAGAAAACTTTAACAAAAGGGCTATTAGTCATAATAAAAAGAAAAGGTTGCTGCTGTAACTGAAGAAAAACGAAAATAAAAAAAATTGGCCAAGCCGTCAACAATTTTGTAAGTGTCTGGTCCTTCTCACATCATACAAAAGGATTTATACTCCTTGTGGTTCTCTTAGACTTTCAAATCTAATTTCTCTTAAAATTCAGGTCAAGAAACTAACCAGAAGGGAGACTCCACTGGTCTTGCTCAACCTATGGGACCAGTGATTGCAGGAATGGGGCCAGCCTTGCCTGAGCACAATGCTGCCTTCAATCCTTCAAAGCTCTAAGTAAAGATACGGGTGTTCCTGGTGGCAGGGTTTTGATTTTTCATCTTTCAAATCAACTTTATTGCAGTATAATTTACATAAAATATAATTTCATCACCCAGAAAATTCCCTTGTGTCTCTTAGTAGTCAATTCTTAGCCCAAAGACAACCACCGGTATAATTTCTACCCCCATGGATCAGTGTTCCTTGACTTTATACTAACTGAATCATATAGTTTATTCCCCGTTTCCCCCATTTTTTTACAGCTTTATTGATGTAAACCTGTAAAATTAATGTACATAAACTACCTATTTAAAATACACAATCTCAAGTGTTTTTAACGTATCCCCCACCTCGAAACTGTCAGCACAAGACAATTTCAAGGTGATAAACATATCCATCACCCTGAAAAGTTTCCTCCTATACTTTTGT